CTGGAGTGAGTCCAGAGGAAGGCCACGAAGATGATCAGTGGGCTGGAGCACCTCTCCTATGAAGACAGGCTGAGAGAGTTGGGGTTGTTCAGCCTGGAGAAGAGAAGGCTCTGGGGAGACCTTATAGCAGCCTTCCAGTACCTGAAGGGGGCCTACAAGAAAGCTGATATTTGGAGCTATGCATGTGATCTGTAAAAAGGTTCAAGCATTGAGGGTAGTTCACTGTTCCAAAACTTAGGGATCCACTATCCTAAGCAAGCTGCTTCATTTTGCCACGTATGGTGCTGTGACTTCTCTTAGATGCCTCTGAAGAAGCAGCTTTTAGGCCATATCTCTGTTGTGTGATCTTTACCAGTGTGGTAGCAATGAAAGGCCTAGAGGATGTCCTGAACAGACAATCAAAAGCTCGGAAGCAGTTTAGTGGGAAGTGAGGAATTTTCAAGGTTGCTAACAGCAGGAAGTAAACCTATTGTAAACACAAATGTATACTTTTTAGTAAAAATGCTGATAATGATTTGAACACAGAATGTCACGTTTTGACAATTTAAACAAAAAATATTTCTGAGTGAAAGAAATGGTGTAAAGAAGAGCAGCTCAAGGTCTGGTCAATGTGACAGACAAAAATGCAGATATCTTGTCTGATCTGGCACTCCTGCTAACGATAGCTCTGTTTTTCTACCTACACTCACAGCAGGATATGCTTCCTAAGAACTGCAACAGAATCAAGGACTCAACATGAACACATTTTACCCTGTCTTGAAGTCTAATATTCTTTATAAGGATTCATAAGTCCTGTCAGTGCTAGACCAGAGGTATCTGCCTGCCCTCTCTTCACTGCCAGGAGGGTACTACACACAAAAGAGTAGTTGTCACCTGAAAGCTGTACTGAAAGTCAAGGGCCTTGTATCTCAGTTATTCAGGGATGTGGTTATAATTAAAAACGCAGTTCCATTTTTCACTGAAGGGTCCCTGTTGTCTTACCAGGCATAATGGTCTTCTGGCAGTGGAAACACTTCGATGAATACTCATCAGAGTAGCATTCAGTACACAGCAAGAGCTCGTCCTTGGCAGCAAATGGTTTCTCCACCAGTGAGCGACTGCATTTGGAACACTTGAAGCACCTCTCATGCCAGTGGCGGCCTTTGTAGGCCAGATCCTTGGAGAAAGTAAGTCCATGTTAATGCAGACATTTCTTTACAGTGCTTTTATCCCTCAGCTCCTCCCAGAAATAAATGGAGAGCGTTGCAATGGGGACTTGAAGAGATGACGTGTATCCGGCAGGAGGTGTGCTGAGAGGTGATATAAGTACTCAATATCACTGTGTCAGGATATTTTGCAGATCTCTTGCAGAGGACATTAGGAGCTGCTTTGGCACAGGCAATAGTCCCTTATGTAACATCAGAGATATGTTTTTATTGGAAGAACCATTTTATATTTTACAGTTGGCCTTCAAGAGGAAACAAGTGATCAACGTTTTTAATGTGCACAGGCCACCTGACAAGAAGTGCATTCTCTATAGACTTGGAAATGAACTTCATGTATTTTTTAACGTTACTACTTTTTCTTCCAGCTGACACTACATAACAGTAAAGAAAGATCATATTCTTGCAGAAAACAAGCAATTAAAATCTCATTGAGAACAAAATGATTCTTAGGAAGATTATTAAAAAATCATAGCTTTTGTTTAGACCTAATATAACTCCTCCTAAAAACTTGGCAGAAAAATGTTTGTTTAAGACTCAGCAGGCTTAGAGGATGAAAAAGCTAATAGTATATATATGAGACCTTCACTAAGAATTAAAAAAAAAGAGCAAATAGCAGATTTTATTTTTCCAAGGTTAAAAAAACAAGGGAAAAATGCACCATCAACCCCCCCCCCCCCCCCACCTTAAAAAATAAACCAGACCCTTCCAGGTCTCCTTTATAAGTAAAAAGTAAAAAAAGACACAAATCCAATCTCATTTTTCTCCTTCGTCAGATCCCCAACCTTTAAAGTGCTAAAAATGAAATACATACCATGCTTCATTTCAGGAGGTGCTGAGCGCTTACCACTTTCATTTGCATGTGTTAGCACTCTGAGCCTTTTAGAAAATAGGCTATCACCCCAGAGCAGCCTGAGGCAAAGATTGAGTAAGAAGGAGAGGAAGAGAGCCAAGCTCTAGCACCGTGGCAGAGGTTGGACAATTAGTTGTAGATCTCTGTGGGCCACTTTTCTAGCTGACTCTGGCGTGTTGCACTCCTTTCTTGTTACTCCTGATTTTTTCTCCCAGTTTTTCCTTCCACTCAGTCCAAAGACACGACTTTTTGTTAATGATCTATAACATTGTTAGTCCTGCCACTTACTTAATTTTCAATTTTAAAAGTGGAATTAGTGAGCTCAGAGAACATGTTCTCCAGGTGATTCTGACTGCAGCTATGTGTACAAGTTTGTTGTTGAAAAATGCTGATGAGAGTTTGAGAAGAGTCTTCATCCAAGTCAGCAATTTCTTTGGATGATTCCTTTACAGTGCTGAGCTGTAGTCAGACAATGTGCTTTGAAAATCATGAAGTGTTTTGGCCTGGGAGGCCTCCTGAGAGGCTTATTTTAATAACTTTCTGACCTTTTATTTCAAAAGAACATATGCAAAGCAAGCATGGGGAGAAGGTGAGTATTACATACTGAACTTGGCAAAACAAAGGCCTTTTGAAAGGTTTTATCCAAACTTAAAATTCAAAGTCAAGTGCACAGGCTGTAAATTGAAGTATGGGGTACTGGAAACCCTGTCAAAGGCCACAGAGGAAATCATATTATTCATTAATATTCTAAAAAAGGGGAGAGGTGAAAAGAAAGCCGAGCCCAGAAACACTGCCACTCACATGCCATCTATGAGATGAGCAAAGTAAGCATGGAATTAAGTTAAAATTAAAATATACGTCATTTCCAAAAGACAGGGGGAATAATATATAAATTTTAAGCATGGTTTCTTTTCAGCTTGACATCTGCATGTCAAGCTTTTACCTACAGTAAAAGTAATTTACCCAATACTCAAAATACTTTTTTCAATTGACATCTCTCAGAAATTCCAATGTTTCATTCAACCTGATCTACTGAATTACACCAGCATTACACAAGCACTGTGCAGTCTTTACAGCTAGTGAGTGACTGGAGGTGAAGCATGGAGTCCAGTTGTGGTCCACATATATACCACAGCATTGATGTATGTCTGAGGTTTATGTATGTGCAGATTTCCTAATCCTTGGCCCTGGATCTTTCCTATTCTGGGAAAATAGCACTGTTTCTCTCTGCTGTGCGTGGATGTACAACGGCTGTTCTTAGGTCTCTTCACCAGTACAGGGATATGCAGAGGGCTGGATACAGAATCTGCCATTAAAGAGATGGGATTTGTGTGTAATTTAACAAAGAACAAGAAGTGAAAGCAAAATCTTTACCTTGGAATCACACTCAATAGGTTGCTTGCACTCTTCACAGGGGTTGGCAAACAGGCTGTCATAACATGTAACACAATAAGCGTTTTCTTCTCTTAATGCATACTTCCTTCCACGAAGGGACTGCAGGCAGTAATGACAGTCTGTCTGATTGCTCGTCATTCTGGTGGGGTTCGCTACGTGATCTGGAAAGATGGAAAAATCAATGGATGACCGTTTGCTTGCCTAAATAACAAATAATGCTGCTTTACCTGTGAAAGTTAGGACAGGCTTTTCTTGGTCATCTACAGTGCCCTGGATTTCTAATGCTGGGCTATTCTATAATACAATGGTAGTCTTTAACAACATATAGTGTGTATTGTGTTACCTCCATAATGGACAGCAAGAAGGCTGCTTCAGTTTAATCTAATGGTACTAAAACTAACAGGTCAGGTACCTGAAAATGAAGCTGTCTTCACATTCTCTACGTACAACTATTGACATTATGAGCATTATGTACTGGATTGTGAGGCATGGTTTATCCAGAAATCAGGGAATTGAGATAGAAGCTATAGTCCAAAAATTAAACCAACTGCAGAGTTAAAAGGCCAAAGAGAAGTTGAAAGCACTTTGTAGTCTGTTCCTGGCTTGCTTTTGCCATTCCTGTCTTTCTGCTCATTCCTTCTTTTTCAAAATACCCACCTCTACCTGACTGAACAGAAGGAAGACAAGGAACTCCAAGCTATATGGCTGGTTTTGCATAATCCCCGCTGTGCTGCTAGCATTTGGTAGCAATGTAAGGCGACAGAAATACCACTGGAGAGCAAAATATAAAGAGAAATAGACTAAATCATAACTCAAACACAATCATAACTCAAAGTGAATTTCCCTTGTTGTTATTGGAAAAGACTGTCTTTTCTTACATATTTCTGTGTTGCCAGGTTCCACGCTGGCAGTGCCAGAATGCTGTGAGATAGATTATATTTCTGTGCCAGACAAGTGCAGGAAATACCACAAACCTATTGAGAGCCAATTGTACGAGTTTCCCATCCTTCAGCTTTCCAGGCTAAAGAGGCTTGGATAAGCATCCAAACCTCAGCCGCTTATAGATCTGCAATGCTGGATTGTGGAGTTGAAGACTTATTTCAGTCTTCTTGTTGCTGGTTGGATCACCAGTACTTTGCTAAAATTGCGTCTTGATTCCTGGGAATGAAGGAAGAAGAATCCAGAAAGTTCCCAGTGAAGCAAACCCAGAAACATCTGCTGGACTCATTGGATTTCACTCTTCATTAAACTCGTTGAGTGCCAGCAACCATAAATTTTAGAGGATTTGAGAACAACCAGGAAAGGTCTCCTAAAATATTTACATATCAGTGACTTTTGGCAGCTGAAATCTTTGCACTTTCAATAACAGTGCAAATTAGTTTATCTTAACCATATGCAAAGCCTGAGAGTAAGGAAGAGAAGCATATGAAGAACAAGACTCGAGGGAGTACTTGCCATCACAAAGCTTACATCTAGTCCATTTAGAATTACTCCCTCATACTTGTTTTCATACACTCGCTGCCTGTCTTATACCCATGGTTCAGTTTTAAAAAGGCATTTCATCTTTTTCTGGGTTTCTGCTTTGTGAGATGTAATCCAATATGATTGTTTGAACTATAAGAAAGAACAATTACTGCAGGTCTCCACTGGCACCAATGCATAAGGTCAGGCATTTATTAATCTATTCCTGGAGGGATAATAGTAAGACAGTGAAAAGGAGGCAGGGAGAGAGGCTATAATGCTTATCTCAGACCAAAAGTAATGACTTGGTCATTTGGCACAAGCTATGGAAAACTTGTTCCTGTCAATTGAAAATCTTTTGAGTTGAATTGATTTACTGTATTTCTGACTGCCCTAAATCTTTGTGCTAGCCAAGATAGGGTGTAGTAAGGAAGTAAAATAATCTGTAACTCAGATCAGTGGGAAACATACTTGCTTAAGATCAAACAGAGGGTTGAATGTGAAATGAATGAACCCCTGTATATGAGAAAATGACATCCATCAGCTTGTACATTTACACAACATGACATGTAAAACCAGACACAGTGCAGCAATTCAGTGCACGGTCACTATACAGCCATCACCAAAACCAAGGTTGTTTTGCTCATTTTCTATATTGGGGAAGCAATATAAATTGGTGGCTAGGGAGACAATCAAGGAATGTTTGTGGTTAACTGGGCTCCATATTCAAGGTCATAGGACAGGCTTGAAATTGGGTTTCAGAGGAATTTTCATGCCTTTTTTGGTGGGAGTTAGCGTTATGAACTGCCTCTGAGGATAACCCTGAGTAGACTACCTTTCTGATTTCCTCCCTGCTGAATCAGTACCCCAGCTTCCTAACACAGTTTCACCTCAGCCTAAAAGTAGCAACAGGAAAATCCTAACAGGGAATGCGTGAAGAGCTTATCTGTTACTTATAGTGTTTTTTGTTGTACAGAGCTCACCAACAAATAGCTTCAGATATCTGCAGATAAATCTCTGTTTCTTTCATTCTAATGAATGACGATACGTTTCTAAGTTACTGAAAACTCTGCATACCCAACAATTTTCTTCAAAAAGTGGTTTTCTTGGTTTTTTTTTTTTTTTTTCTTCCCAGGAAACCAATCTGTTCCAGGAAGCCCAGGTTATATACACATACAAGACCTGCTATTGTAACACTCCAGAACTTCTGAATTTGTATTGTAGTTATCCTCCTAAAAATCTATATAGATATGGGAACAAAGTGCCATTACTCCTGTTTTACAGATGACAGCATTAAGCATGTTCTTAATGCTTCAGAACATTAAAAGAGTACACCCAAGACCAGAGTCAAAACCCGGGGGTATACTTGAGCTGCTCCTCTAGTAAAGTGTTCAAGTCACCCAAGGCTTTGTTTCAGAAAAAGTCTTCAGGGTTTGACAGTGATGATATAAGACCATATTTGGGAATGAAGCAGCGACGGTATGAAAAAGAATGATGATTTTTGAAAATCTCTTGGCAAACGTCTGGGTAATCTTTGTCAACTACTTTTACCATTAGACAATGCAACAAAAAAAGTGAATCTCACTCCCCTAGCACCACTTACCCTTGCTCCAATAAATAAGTAATGGTACGAGCACCACGTTGTTAAGTAGAATGTTTTTCTTGTGCTTTGATCCTAATCTCTAGAGAAATATGTTTGCTTTAAGTTTGCTGGAAGCTAGACTTTGTGTTTTGAAGGTCAGTTAAGAAATCTCTGGAGGTCTGATGCTATTCACTCTCACGGAATGAAACGCTGACTCCAGCATTCCAGCTGCTAACTCGCGTCCTAGGCACAGGGAAAGACTGCGATGTCTTCATTCCTTGGGAAAAGAGGATTTTGTTATCTAAATTGGAACAAAGCTAAATACCGCTGATTTTTATGTATCTAGGAGGCACGGATATGTGATACCATTTGTAGTGTTAGAATATTCCAAGGGGGAGCAGAGACGTTGCCAGAGATGCGGGGATATTGCAACTGGAGTCCCTGGGGTCAGATTTGAGAATGCAGCAGTCTCATGGTATGAATTATAAAGCAGACAAAAATAAAACAACAGAGCTGGCTAGCCTGCCTGCTGTTCCAGCAGATTAAGACAGAATTTAGCTAGAACAAATTAGGAGAGGGACTTTCTGTAGAATCAAATGGTTTCCTATAAGATGCAGAGCACTGGAAGACTTCCAGTGAAGAAAGCCGTAAAAAAATAGTTGTGAAGTTGTGAAACCCGATAAATGTGGAACCATCAGAAAAGGAATGCTTGTTTTCTCACTGGAGCTAAAAAGCACAGCCACAATGTTAATATGTCTCTTAATAATTTATCTTGATATTTTCTATAAATGTATGTTAATCTCCCTTAGGTTATATAAATATAAAAAGCCCAGAAATATTAATCTTACTTAGATGGGGATGCATATACCTAGGCATGTCGGTATATACATACGTGTAAAAATATCGTACCTTTTATTTACAGTAATTCTAATGGACTATTTTCTGATCTAAATAAGCCTGCCATTGAACTGCATCATCTTTTTCCTTAAGAACATACAATGAATGGAACAGGGCTCTCTATTAGGGAGGCATAAAGAAAGAAAAATGATGGCAAAATAAATCATTGCAACAATGCTCAAGGCTAAGAAAAACAAATTGATCTGTTATGAGGGGGACACCCCTGCAAGCCATCCCAGACACCTGTTTATTTTCAGTTAAGTACTTTTTTTTATCTTGGAACATGATTTTGCACAAATTTGTTGATTTCATTTTCCTTTTTTTTTTTTTTGTGAGAGCTGCTGAACAATTAACCTCATAAATTTGCAAAATACATTAGTGACTCAAGGTTGCAACTGCATTGTAAAGCTAACTATCATTACAAGGAAAAATTTCTAACAATATCATTATTTTATAAATAAAAATTTCTAACAAGGTTCTACAAAGAAATTTTTCCTCATTTCAGAGATCACAGTTTCTTGATTTCTCCGGATGCCTGCTACCGCCCAAAAATCTGTTATTTTGTTATTGTGACTAGACCTAATAAAAGCCCTGACCCCTTGAGAAAAAATGAACTCACAAGACAGTTAAAAGCCTGCTGTATTTTCAAAACAGTAGCAATACCCTTGCTTTGTCTCTTCACTCCCTTCAAGTAACTGCAATTTTCCCAGTGATACCTTTAAGTTATGCTTGGGTGTTTAAGGATAATAGAATTTTTGCTCTTTTAAAAACGCCTAGAGAAACAATAGGAACCAAGGGCATATATTACAGATCAAGTCAAAACAAGTACCTAAAGGGAAGTACAGACACAGGCGTTAACTTTGAACAAGCTGTTTTATCTCCATGGCACAGCACAGTAATACAAAGTGAGGTCCTAGGAGCATCCGAGTGGGTGCAGAGCTCTTGCTGATGAAGCTCTGCTTTAGGCAGACAGGATGGATGCCAACCAGGACTGTGCTGTAAGGATACAACTATACAGCCTCAAGGTCCACAAGTGACATGGTTTTGGTGGACCGTCTAGGAAAAGCAGCTCATTTAGAGGCTGATCGGGTAACTGCACCACACTGCATTGTACCGTGTTTACACATCCCATGACCACGAACAAAAAGGGCAAGAGCTCTGGCTTAACTAGGAGATCGAGCATCCCAGGAATTCTGTT